TTGTGTTCTGCCTTAACGTTTCTCCCCAAAAACGCCACCTTAATTGCAAAAGCGAACATTTTTGCACAAATACTTTTAGTTTTTGTAACTCAACTGTTTGTGCCATTTGAAAAATTCAAACAAAAGGATCAGATTGATAAGCAGAAACTGAGCGACTGAAGCGAGTAACTGAGCAGAAAGCAGCAAAGAATGTCTAAAAGGTAACCACAACTATGAATATCGGCCGTAGTGCTGCTATGAAAGAGGGGAAAAAATGGAAAAATTATCTAAATTCATATATGTGTCACTGTGTTAGGTTCCCACGACCCAAACAACAGGTCCTGGGTCAGTCAAAATGCCGCGGCTTTGGTAATGCAGCCAAAACAATAGTTTATCGCTACCATCCTAAAACGATGTCCAATCTCCAGAGTCTCATAGCAGTTCATGGTACCTTTATTTTCTACACCTTTAAACTGTTTTCATCTTGTGATTACTCTTGATTACGAGGAAATCTGGTTATTTGCAAGCATAACTGCCAACTAAATGAAAATTTTGCACAACCAGGGGTCCAGTCTGGTCGAATTTTGAATATCACTCGTGCAATGGAAAATTGATTGTGGTGTAAACGTTTATGTTTGCATGCATGTTATTAAGTTTGGTGATTTGAGCTGTTTTACGATGGCAGCATACTCGTGGGTCTATTTCTAGCTAGTAGCTTATCTGTCTTGTAGGGTTAGGGTAGGGCTGGGCGATATATCGATATTTTTAAAATATCGGTATAATTTTTAAACAAGATATAAGATGACTTTATATCGATATAACTGGTCAAACTACTATGCTAGCGATTAGCCGCTATGCTAGCGACATGTTGCTCCGTCTCTAAACGGTTATTATGTGTGTTCTCACAAGTTTGTTCTATCTGAGAGCCTCTGGGTATATGTGCTGCTCTGAGGTAGGACCTCTCTCCCGACCCGGAGTTGGCAAGCCACCCTTTTCCAGTCGAGAACCATGGTCTCAGATTTGGAGGTGCTGATCCTCATCCCAGCTTAAGTTTTCGTCCATATCGCCCAGCCCTAGGTTAGGGTGACTGAAACTAACTTCAGAATGTGATATTTCAGATGCACAAACAGCCCTCAAACTCAAAAGTGGAGATGGTGTTTGAGATTAATCTGAGCTAAACTTCACATTCATTTTACTTGTGTGTGTTCTTGTTGTTCAGAAGCACATCCATGAATAAAAGATGGAGACGGGTAGGTTTTCAGCGCAAGCACGGTCACAAAACACTGACACTTCTCCTCAGGTACCTTCCCAGTGACGCTTCTGTCAGAACCAGAAACTCCCATTACCAGAAAAAGCGAGAGATTGCTAAAACACCAGTCGCCATTTTCTAGTTCTAAACATCTTTTGTTGTCTGTGACGTCATATAGTGTTTTTCTTTTTGGGACTCTGGTAGTTATTGGTGGACAGATAAAAGACAACCACTTCATTATTATCTTTTAAAATCCCCATAATATATTTAAAGCTATACAATGTTAGACGGTTAAGGGGCATGGAAAAAACATTCTCGTTGCAGCTTTGAATGATCACAAAGCTCAAAATAAAAGCTTAAACTTCCATTTATGTTAACATGTTAGATCCAGTGTGTAAATATTCACCTGAATGGAAAAAAAGACATCTGTATTTGATAGTGAACATAGCAGTAAAATTACTACTTTTTATTAGAAGTTTTCCAGTTTCACCTAGTTTTGGAGTTTTTCTGATATTTTACAGCGTTTTAAAATGACAAGACATCAAGTATCCTAAATCCCCACAGTGCATGTAGGACAGTTTCATATTCTAGTTTCTGTCGGCAAGGTTCACTCAAACTTAACCCCAGGTTAAAAACAACACGAGCACCGACTCCACTGGTCTTTCTGCTCTACGGCCTTGTATTTAGCCCATATGTGAGCGATTTGGGGCTACTGGGGAAGCTGTAAGGTGGTTTGAAGTTTTCCAGGGAATGTTGAGATTGTTGTCACAGTGGCAAGGGCACAACTATTAAGCTGTCGTTGGAGGTGAAGCACAGTTCAGTCAGATGCGAGCTGTATGAACTTCCAAACAAAAAGTCCCGTAGTTTAACTCCAGCGTCTGCAGACGAAGTGTGGTTAGAAAAGTCCCCTTTATGTTCCTTTTGACTTTTAACTCCTAGATGACAGAGTGGGCCTTTTACAAAGACTCCTGTGTTCTTGGAGAACCTGGTCCCAAGAAATAACTGCTGCTGTTAACACGGGAGGACGGTTCCCTCTGCTGCAGGCGTGTTCGGTGGCTGATCTAGTTTTGATGATGACCAACTAAACTGGTTTTCATTCTTCACCCTTTCTTTTATGTCTACTGCAGTCACAGCTGCTGCTGAATAAGGTGCTTTCATCTCATATCACCCAACCTCGTTGTAGACCGTTTAATCGCTCCCTCCTTTTCCAAAATCACACATGTGGATCTTTGTTGGCCGTCTGGGATCGCAGAGGTGCAGATTGTTAGAGTACAGGTCAGCCTGTCTTTCTTTAAAACTCGTTTTAATTTGGTCAGAAAGTGGGCCCAGTGGTTCTCCGGATTACCCAGCTAGCCCTCTCTGTGTTGTGATAACTAACAGCGCTGCCTAACTGTGTCCAGATGAATGCTGGTGAAGGAGTCGGATCCTGTTACTTGTGCACCGAGGAGAGACACATACACAAACATAAACCAATACCCCAGCTTAAGATGACTTTTAACCCCAACCCCAAGCCGCTAGTCTTAAGCCTCTTGGATAAAAGCAGTAAAGTAACGTGATTGGAAAACCCCAGCATGAGCGTTATTATGAGAAACACTACATCTGTCTGAAAGTTAAATGTTTTCTTAAGGGGATAGACTCAACTCGGGGGTGTGCACCTACACCCACATTCTTCTGTGCCACATGGAATGAGCAGTCGCAGACATAAAGAAGAAAGCCTGGCACCTCTCCACCGCTGTGCGGTGGAGTGGATTCTGCTCACGCAGGTTCTTTTATTAAATCGTCCTCTCCTGGAGAGTTTCTGTGGTCATTCCCCCACGCCGCCCTGCCCCTTGCTCTCGCTTTCACTTCACATTTGGGAGCCATTAGCAGGCTGAATGTGAGGCTACTGTACACACCCACACGTAATGTGTGAGGCCAGGCAGGAAAGCTCAACGTTTATAATACACCATTATACTGAGCTGTGTGTGTGTCCTGAGTGCATACACGGCAGAAACAGTGGTTCAGTGTTGCAAAGCTATTTTCTCAGTTACCAACAACTCAATTTCACTGTGAAATGCTTTCATCTACTTATCGACTTACTGCGTTTGATTCGTCTTCGCTCTTTCTCTAGAATGTTTTCACGCTGAGCTGTAGATGTAGCCTTGCTCTGCAAAGTCTGCTCTAAGAAAGCTCCATTGGAACCTCCGTGGCCCCTAGCAGCACGCTGACGAGCCAGCCACAGCTCTCTATCGGGGTTTTTGAGACGATAAAGGGCTGTGATTGGTCCACAATGGTGGACCAGTTGTTTGTATATTATGTCATTGTATGTGAAGTAAGTGGAGTTAGCTACCAGTCCTATCAGTTGTGCTATGTCAGCTGCTGTGAGGTTTGTTCTTTTGTGTAAAGTCTTGTCCTGTCTGATTCTGTTAACTACTATGTCTATGGTTTTTTGGGTTGGTGTTTTTGTGAACAGAGATGTGACGTCATGTGAGATGAGTATGTCGTTGTCTTCTATTGTAATCTTTTTTAAATTCTTCTGCCAGTTCTATACTATTGTTGCAGTGTTGATCTGTGTTTCCTAATAATAGGCTGATGATTCTGCTGATATCTCTTGCCATGTTGTATGTTGGTGTGCCTATGCTGTCTACTATTGGTCTAAGTGGGGTGTTCTGTTTGTGTATTTTTGGCGTTCCATATATTCTTGGTATTATGTTTGCTGTAGGAATCCAGTGTTTATACATTTTTTCTGTTATTTAGCCTTTTTCTTGTAGTGGCTTCAGTAATTTTTTCATGTTTTTCTTAATGTTTTCTGTTGGGTCTTTTTTAAGTATTTTGTATGAATTTTTGTCCTCTAGCATCTGTTTCATCTGTTGTTTATATTTTTATCTGTCCATAACTACTGTGGTTCTTCCTTTGTCTGCTGGTAGAATAATTATCTGTTCCTTTTTGGATAAAGCTGTCATGGCTGATTGTTCTTCTTTTGTAATATTGCTGTGTTGAATTTTGCTGTTCTTTAATGTCCCAACAACGTTATTTCTGAGTTCTGCTTTCTTTCCCTCATCTGAGATCTGTTGACATGCTAGTCCTGTTGCTACGATAAATTCATCATTGGTATTTTCTTTGGTGAAATCGAAAGTACACACCCACACGTGAGTCTGTGGGTGTGTACTTTCAGACCGTAGTTAACAGAATCACGTGTGGGCGTATCAGCAAGGTACAGAAAAACCTTTCCTATGTTTTAAAAAGAACCAAAAATGGAATTAGAAACTAAACACTGTAAGAACACACCAAAGATGTTTAAAGACTGGAACAGGATAGCAGCTCGTTTTAAATTACTTTTACATCAGTTTAGGACTATTTGGACTTGGGCTTTATTAGAATTAAGAACAGATGGATGTATTTAAATCCTTTCTTTGGAAACAAGGATGTATTTCCGCCTTCTTCAATAGCAGACTGCCTTGCTGACAGATATCCATTTAGGTGAGTCTGTCACGCTGTTCGATGTCCAGTAGCATGCAGAGATTGTTTGAAAGACAACGGAGGATCCCTCTCCATGGCTGAGAGCCATAAATGGAGCAATGGCTTGCCAGGCTACCGTAGCTGGGAACAGCCATGAAACTGTAGGAACAGTACTGAGAGGGCCACTCGTGAGTTTTAAAAATGGGCTGCAGTACCCAAATCTGACCACAGGGTGTCAGTCTGTCTTCATTCTTACATCCTACACCTTTAAAGCTAAATGTTAATGCTAGCCACACCAACCTCACTTTGTTCTCTTTTATTTTTCTTTCTTCAGGCAGAATCCTCTCCAGATGGGCCAGAGGTGGGCTACGGCTCCTTCCACCAGCAGTACTGGTTGGATGGACGCATCGTGGCAGTAGGAGTGATCGACATCCTGCCTACCTGCGTGTCCTCGGTCTACCTGTACTACCACCCAGACTTTGCATCACTGTCTTTAGGCTCCTACTCTGCTCTCAGGTTGGTAAAAACTGAATCAAGTCAAATCTTAGCATTTTAATGCTTTTTCTTTCTTTTATCGCTCTAATTCCTGCTTTTTTTTCTTTCTGGCATTGTCTCTTCCCGAGTTTTACCTTTAGAACTATATACTACTACACCATAAATACAATAATAATTAAGGTCAAGTAAAATACCTCTTCACATTTAATTGATGTCGGCAGTGCTCTGTGGTTCAGCTGATGACAGATCTGTCTTCCAAAATGAAATCAGAGAACACACACATAAGCGACAGCTACACGCAGTCGGCATTTCCTGTAAAACGTAACTCATGAATGTGAGAAAAGGCTTTTGAATACTTTTGTCCTTGGCTGAGATGGAATCTGTCCCTTCAGTTTCACCATATAGACGTGTTTTAATAGGAAATTTTGAGAGTCCAGGCGTGTAATCGTACACTACATCAGCACAGAAGAGGTCAAAACAGAAGTACTGAAGAAACTCCTTGTTCATCCTCTGTCTTGCATCAATTATTATTTTAAGAGTCTGAGTCCAAAAGTAACAGAGCAGTTGGTGTGTGGAGGAGGCCTTCGAGAAGGGAGCCAGCAACACTTGTTTACTGACGCCAGAGTCCAGGCTTTTGATGCCGTCAGGACACTCCTGTTTTTTTCTGTCCATGTCCAAAACTTACTTTGCAGAATGCACGCTCCCCCTTTCATTCCCAGCCATGCAAATTAAAAGTGAAGAACTGACATTTCAATTTAGAAGCAATGCAGTCATAACTAGTTTAGGCGGGGCTTCTGCGTCTCCGCCGATCGATTAGCCACTAGAGCTAAACAACAAACCAAACCATTATTTATGATCGAAGAAACTCAACTGAATCGCCTCCCGCACCTTTTCTGCTGCATCACCGAAAAGGCCTCTGACTGCATGATTTGGTTCAATCAGTCAATCAAAGCTTTATTTATAAAGCGCCTTCCGCAACCCTGTCAGGAAGCCCAAGGCGCTGGTTCATTCATTTATAATAATAATGATAATGCATCAAACTTAAATAGCGCTTTTTAGGTCACTCAAAGACGCCTCGCAGAAAGGCAATAAACCCATAACGAAGCAAAATGTAAAATAAAGAACAAGGTTGTCTTAACCTTTTTGTTTGCAGGATTGTCTGTTTATGCTGAGCTGCATTAGTATTTGCACCAGCAGCTGTAGGGGCTCAAAAGCTAAACCTACGTATGTGTTTTATATAACTTCATGGCTTTGATGTGTCTGTCCCTGTTTTTATTTATTTATTTATTTATTTATTTTGGAGTCGTCAGTCCATCACTGGGCGCCGGAGACACAGTTGTAGCTTCATTACCTCTAAATGTGTATGAACATTATTAAAAAGTTACAAAAAAGTTAGGATCTTGCATTTGCTGCACATCTGCATGCATGTGGTTCTGAAAGGAAACAGGAGAGGGAGACATTTCATGCAGAAGCGCCCCCCCACCCCCCCACCCCCCAATAAACCCCGAGGACGTGAGGAGGAAAGAGGCACATCACGAGGCATGGCAGGCGTCCACACTGAAACTTGATTACATGGAATTTTGTTTTGCCCTAATCCTGAATCAGAGACTTCAATTTGGTCATGAAGCCACCCTTATGATATGCATTTTTATCTATTAATAATATTTTAATAAACGTGTTAGAAGCACATGAAGACCTGGGCATAATAACATTTGTGTTTCACTTATTAGGAGCAAGAAATTCTCACAAAAACAAGTTTGAGTTTCATAAAACGAATCAAAGTTGGAGAAGCAATAAAGAAGTGGAAGAAGGAATTGTTTATTTGCATGTTGCAAACCATAATATTCACCACCCATTCCTATACAGTAAAACCCTGTGTGCTGTTGCATCATCTCAGTCAGTGTTGAAGGTCTAGATGATCAACAATATTTGTGTCGATTATGTAATGAAGTGTTTGTGTGTGCAGCACCAAGCTGCAGCGAGCACCTCAGGGTATGCACTATTATGGGCTCTTTGTGTGTGTGTGTGTGTGTGCACGTGCGTGTGCGTGTGTGTGTGTGTGTGTGTGTGTGTGTGTGTGTGTGCATCAATGTGAGGGAAGCTGTGCAGGAGCAGAGGGCTTGATAATTGGCTTGTGCTGGAGTGTCAGATGGCTGAAGAGGGGATAATGGCAGACTCAAGCTGCTGCCATGGGGGTGGAGGTGGGGGTGTGAAGGCCTCAAGTAAAGGGGGAAACATGGCTTTTTGTGAATGGGCACCTCCCCTCTCTTACACCCCCCCCCCCCCCCCCCCTTCTCCGATTCAGGCCTGCCGGACTCTTTTGTGGAGAGGGGATGGGAACCCAGGAACCTGGCAGAAAGCGGGTGACCTCCTAGCACCTCGCTCTAGCTGCCTCTTCTCCATCTCTTTCTCTTTCTTGACCCTACTCTTTTATATTCTCCTCCCGCTCTCTCTCCTTCCCCGTGTCTCCCCCCCTCCCTCGCCTGCCTCCCTTTGTCCCCCGTCTCATTTTTCAGTGCATCTATTTTATTTTAAGGCCTCTTTTTCTGTCTCTGAAGCATCGTAAGAAAGGGATTTCTCCCCCTTCCTTTAAGCGGGTGAAACACAGCAGTGGAAGGAAGGGTGAAACAAAAGGGAGGAAAAGAGAAGCTAGAACTTAGTTATGGAAGAGTGAAAGAAATTGCAAATGGAAAAGGGGGAAATAGGCTTCAAGTAAAAGGATGCAATTAAGGACGAAACCATTGAGGAAAAATAAAGCAGCGAGACATTTACTGTATTTGAAGAAGGTGTATAAATTCCAAAAGTTCTAAATCTTTAATTTACACGCTCTCTGCCTTTCTTTTTGACCACCTTCCTTTTTTTTTTTTATTCGCCTGAAGGCTCAATGCTGGTTGAGAGAAGGCATTTGTTTTTGTGAACCAACATGAGACCAACAGAAGCAGCCTTTTGGAGCGTGGCTGTTTACTTCCTCTGCTTGGCCTCTGGTCTAGTAAAAGCTGCAAGAACCAGTTTAGTTTCTTAATTTAAATGCAGTTTGACTAACCTGGGAGATAAACACATTTTAAATCAGATATTGTACTTTTTTTCTTCTTCTTGTGAAATTACGTCATAGCTGGACGGAGCTGGTATTTGCAGCCGAAACACAAATCAGGAGAATAAAAACTTTAAAGTTTCACCAACAGTTGAAGTTGCACTAAACTACGCGTGAAACTTCACCTTGATGTGTTTTTATGTTTCTTATCACAGGGAGATCGCCTTCACCAGGCAGCTGCAGAAGCAGTCCCCCAAGCTGTCCTACTACTACCTGGGCTTTTATATTCACTCCTGCCCCAAGATGCGATATAAGGTATGTAGAGTCCAAGAAAACGAAAATCTACATAAATGACCCTGTCAGAAAAATGGAAGACATTTCTATAACCTAACGATATAACAGGATCCGGCTCCTTCTCCTATTTCTACCCAGAGTGAGATACACTCCATGCAAGTTTACAGTCAATCAATCAATCAAAGCTTTATTTATAAAGCGCCTTCCGCAACCCTGTCAGGAAGCCCAAAGCGCTGAACATGGTACAGTTGTAAGTAATTATATTGAATAAATCAACAATAAAAGCAGTTCAAATTACAAAATACAAATTACAAAATAGGTGAAACATTCTGGTACAGGACAGATGTGTGAAACACATTTGGATTGAGTGAACCAATGAAAACTGTGAAATAAATTCAACATAAAAGAGGGCCAAAATCAAACATGTTCTGGAAACGCCAAGCGGAGGAGGTGGGTTTTTAGGCGACTCTTACAGTCTGGCAGAGGTGGGGACAGCCTAACTGAGGGTGGCAACTGGTTCCAGAGTAACGTTGCTAAGACTGAGAAAGCCCGGTCCCCACGGGTACGACACCTAGAACGAGGGACAGCGAGCAGGCCTTGGTCAGAGGAGCGCAGAGCGCGTGATGGGGAGTGTCTGTTCAGGAGAGTGGCCAGATAGGGGGGACCACCACCCTGGAAGAAATGATAAACAAAGACGAGGATTTTGAATTGTGAGCGATAGCAAATCGAAAGCCAGTGCAGGGAGGCCAGAACCGGACTGATGTGGTCCCGTTTCCTGGTCCCAGTCAGGAACCTGGCTGTGCTGTTCTGCACAACCTGTAGGCGACGCAATGACGACTGACACAACCCTGCATAGAGAGAGTTGCAGTAGTCAAGCCGAGAAATTACAAAGGCATGCAGTAGAGAGGTGGAATGATGGTGCTGTTGACAAAGTTAAAGGATGCAGCATCCTGACCATCCACTGGCTTGCAGACTCTTTTCGCTTTCGATGGATGGTTAGAAAAGTTGGCTCTGCTCCCAGGGGCGATAATCCCTCATCAATGTTTTTTTTTTGGGGGGGACATTAGACAGTAAAGATTTCCGGAGTAATTCCTGAGGGGGACATTAAGAAAAAGCATTATTTTCATGTGCTGATGTGTCTTAAATGTCTCATATATGATTAAATAACAGCTGTTGTTCTTTATTAGTCCATATACATCGTCCATATATAGTCCAGACCTGTCTACAGGTTTTTGGATGCTCTACCAATAATACCAACAAGTTGTTTTCCAAACTCATACCCACAACCACACAAAACACACATAATTACTGTAAGTAGTCTAAAGACTGAATTCTCCTTATTTCGTGACACTAACCAAAATCTCAAACTCACTTGTGGCTCTGCTTGACGGGCTCCATCTCTTTGTGTCCAGCTATGTACTTTGTGCCTAATGATACCATTATTAAACATATCCAAAACATATCATTTATTTATATGGACAATAACAACAAATTGCCTTAATATTATTCAAGTCTTTCAACTTCCTTGGTGTTTTGGTGAAGTGAAAAATGACCTGATGTGTTTCATTTGTCGTTTCTCTGCCATTTCGACCTGACTAGAAGCTGCCAGACGATTGGACAATAACAAGAACGCAGGTTCAATACCCAGCTGATGGTGTTTGTTTGGCCTACATTTAGCTTTTCCTGCTATAAAAGAAAACTATTTTTGTATGAATGTGTACGTAACAAGTCCAGAACACTGTGAAGTTACTATATTGTGTAAAAATATGTTTGACTTTTAATTGATATAATTGAAAGAAAATCTGGAGTGGAAACCACCAGTCAGAATGTTACAAAATGAATATATGTTCAACGGAACATGTGTTTCAGAAGTTTTTGCCCAAATGTCAAGAACAGTGGCCATGCTTGCGATAAACAACCTCAGCATGCATTTAGCACAATTTGCAATTATGATGTGGACATAAGCCACCAGGGAGCTGCAGGTAATTAGTAAATTAGCCCTGGTGATGTGTGCGGATGTGCTTTAAGCCAGTTTAATATTACATTCTTGAGAACAGAAACACCTATTGCAATTTACAAAATAATTACCATTAAATACATATAAATGTGTTTTTTTATTAATTTGTATTGAAATAATTTAATACAAGTCACTTGTATGAGCACAAATATTATATAAGGAAACTTTAGACTTTTACTGTTTAATATTAAAATACATGATACTTTGGAGTCAGGTCAAACTGTAAAAATGTCAATAACCTTACTAGTAAGTAAGTACGTAAGTAAGTAAGTAAGTAAAAGTTTATTTATAGAGCACCTTTCACAGATATAAATCACAAAGCGCTGTACAACATGATAAAGATCAGGGCAAATACCTCTAACCAATAAAAACATCAGAAAAACAATAGCAGTGATAAACGTAGAAAATAAAATCATGAGCATAAACAAAGTGAAGGTGTGAACAAGAACAAAGCCATCATTCTGAAACATTTAGGGAGGGAACGCCTGGATGAAAAGGTGAGTTTTTAGATGATTTTTAAAGACCTCTACAGTGTTAGAGAGACGGAGATTTGAAGGTAGACTGTTCCAAAGTCTGGGTGCAATAGTCTGAAAGGCCCTGTCCCCTTTGGTTTTTACTAGTCAAAATAAGAACTATGAACAAGTGTGTGTGTGTGTGTGTGTGTGTGTGTATCAAATTTTCCATACAGCGAGAATGGAGTTTCAAAAGTCCGCGAAAAAACGCTGCACAAGTGCTACTCAAAAAATTTTGACAAGGTTGGCAGGTCTGCATTTGCAACCATAAGTCAGAATTGAGTCCAACAGATTACATGATTGTTTTGGTTTCCTGACCTGCTTCAACCTTAGAATCCAATATGGCTGCCTTACTCGTGAAGCTTGGTGCTAGCTGCAGCGTTAACTTAAAATGTTGGTTTTAATCAGTCACACACCTAGAACAAAATAACGTCTATTAAGAAGCATATTGCTACAGTATTTGATATTTCTAATGACCAGTCTGCTGTCTAGCACATATTATCCTACATTTATTATTATAAGCCCACGTAATGACAGATAGCTTTAGCAATAAGCCAAACCAACCAAATGCAACAGAACTCAGAATCACAGTGCATTTGTTGATACTCTTCAGTCCAACAGCACAAGCAAAGTCCACATTTTCTTGGCATCCAGTTTGTTTTTCTGATCTCCAAGTCCAGCGAGTAAAAGCTGCTCAGATTTTTACTCTCCTTTAGTCTCTTATTCTATGTTAGCATTGTTTAGGTTCTTTTCACCTGACTTTCACCATCAGAGAATTGTAATTTTTCCATCTTCAATGTTTATTTGAACTTTTTAGAAGAGATCCAAGTAAACAGAGAACTTTAAACAGTGCGGGCACAATGCCATGTCTGTGTCTCAGAGCAATTAAACTACTGACAACATAATAAATCATATCGGATGTAAACAACTGGTCTAAAAGCTTCAGGTGGAAAGATTTCAAGAATCAGAGCTGACTGGCGCTTTGTTCTTCTGCATGACTAGCGTGTAGAAAGGGAAGGTTTTTGGTCATTGTGCTTATTATTTCATGGATGGTCCAAGACCTGTAGCTGGAGGATGATGTAAAGGAAATCATCTTTCCAAGTGGCTGAATTTCATCATTCATTCACCGTTTGTCATTTCAAATTTTATAATCTCGCAGTTTAATCCTGATTTTCCCAGAGCTTGTTCCTAACCTTGGGAGATGGGTGCCTTGATGAAGATGATGACAAAGGGACAGATCTTTAGCTTGGTGCTTTGCCCCATTTCTCAGGCTGGAAGTGTGTGTGGAATACACATGAGGGTGTGAGCGCTGTTTGCGTCCGTGTGTTGTATTTCGATCGCAGTGTTTGTCTGAGAACTCGCACCGTTACCACAGCACCTTACCCCCCTCCATTGGCATTTACTACCCCATCCCCCAAACCTCCTCCTGTGAGTTCGCCACTGCAGCGACTTGTTCACAACCTCCCCACTTCTTTCTGTTTTACCCCTGGGGAGGAACACGGAATCAGGGTGAGAAGGTTGCCCGTTTCCCACCTTCGCACTCACAGCTCCACAGAAAAGCGTCTCAGCTCAAACGTGCTCCCAGCACATGCACAGTGTTTTACTCGTCTGTGTTATTTGCATATTTGCAGTTCATTAATGCACAGACATAGCGGGGTATTGTTGTCATTGTGTTGGAGGGTTTTCTGCTTTCTGGATCTCACACTTGATTCTCGCCTATTTAAGGACCAAAACAACAGCACTTGAACTCTATTGGACACCACTCCGACCCCATGAGGCTCCCTCCCTCTTTTTTTGTTGTTTTTTTGTTTTTTGTTGGTCTTTTTTCTTTCAAACCATCACTTTGTGGGGCCATGATGGTACCCTAAAAAAAAAACGTATTCTCTGAACTATACAGCAAATGTGCATGAATGTATGTGACATTTAAACAAATGTGTTGCTCTAGCTTTGTGAAATAATGAAACTATATGTGATGTGCGACGATAGGATGTATAACACTGTTCAGGGGAGATGGTACGATGTAATGCAATACTAAAAGCCAGATGATATTTTCTATTATTAAGAATGAATTTAACAGGAAAACTTAGGTCTGACGTTTCCATCCAGAGAAATCACGAGATCTCGTCTGTATAAACTGCTGCCACCTAGCGGTCGGCCTTTGAATTGCACGTAACTTATCTACACAGGGTATCTGCAGGTCTTTAAAAAGTCTTAAATTTGCTTTTCCAAATTTAAGGCCTTAAAAATCCTTAAAAATGACAAATAATCCTTAAATAGAGTTTCCAAAGGTCTTAAATTACCAAAGACCCAATAAACAAGATTCTTTTATTTCTATAAAATTTTCGTGATTTTCTAGTTCGTGTTCAGCATTTTTTGTGTACGATATTGGCGTAAGTGGAACCGTACACATTTGGTTGGTTGTGAAAGGGGGCTACTTTTAGATGAGCACGCTAGTGGGAGTTTGCGCCATGGGGAAGTGCAACATTAATGGT